CAAAAAACCTACAGTTAAAAACAACTTATTATTACATTACCAAAATCTCAATGCAATCCTCAGAACTGAAAACATCCTGTGTAACATCATGTGACATGGGGGAAGCAGTGACAATGATTTGGTCTAACACAGGCAAAGAAAGGTTGTGAGGCTTATATAGCAGCGGGTAAAATGAAGAACAAGAGAAAAGCTGAGAGAATTAGGAAGTAAAACAAGCAGAATTCCTTCCCCTAAATTCACAGAGTCAGCGGTGTAGCCTGAGAACAGCTGTTCTATCCCCATGTGTAGAATTGATGTTACTTTTCCACTCTGGACATTTTATTTTATTTTATTTATTTTTATTTTTGTTGTTGCAGTTTGGCTGGGGCCAGGTTTGAACCGGCCACCCTCAGTACATGGGGCCAGCGCCCTACTCACTGAGCCACAGGTGCTGCCCCACACTCTGGACATTTTAGTCTCTTATAAATATCTATAAACTCACTCCACTGGAAATATTTTTCCTGTTAACTATGAAACATTTATTTCATACACAACACTATTATTTGTGTTTATTCTCTTCACATAAATGTGAAAACAACTGTAGGAATTATGAACCCCTCCCAATTTCCACCTGAAAAAGATAGCCCAGTAAAATCAGTACATTTCATAATGTCATTTAATAGAAAGAAACAATAACAAAAATGTTTCACATAAGCAGTTTCATCCCCCAAAATGGAAAATCTAAAATGTGTTAGTTTAAAAAAAATGTAAATAGGCTCGGCACCAGTGATATACAGCAAGGCTAGTGGGTTCAAACCTGGCCTGGACCAGCTAAACAACAATGAAAACTGGAACAAAAAATAGCTGGGCGAAGTGGCGAGCACCTGTAGTTCCAGCTACTTGGGAGGCTGAGGCAAGAGAATCACTTAAGCCCAAGAGTTTGAGGTTGCTGTGAGGTGTGACGCCATGACACTCTACCAAGGCAAAGAAGAAAGGCTGCGAGGCTCTACCCATGGTGACATAGTGAGACTCTGTCTCAAATGAACAATTTAAAAAATGTAACGAACACTGCAGACACTACAGAATTCCTTGTATCTTTGAAATAGTTTATAATCATTATGGGATTATACAAACTATCAGCTTTATATATTGCATCCAATGAAAATCAAAATAAAAAGATAATTCTATGCATTTATTTGACCTAAAGAGGATATGTGAAAAAACAAAGAGGTGAAATTAACAGGGATTTTACACCTAAAAAGTATGTTTTCTAATTATACTACCACATTATATTTATTGTAACCGTAATATTCCAAATTATGAAAAATAAAAAATAGTAACTATGAGAACAACAGTCTCCAAATTATAGAAATTTGAAGTCCTCAGGAATAAAGGATTACTAGAAAAATCACACAACTGTGTCACTAAATAAAATATCATTTCCATGGCGGCGCCTGTGGCTCAAAGGAGTAGGGCGCCAGCCCCATATGCCACAGGTGGCAGGTTCAAACCCAGCCCTGGCTAAAAACTGCAAAAATAAAATAAGACAGAGTGCCATCACATCACAGCTCACCTCAAGCAATCCTCCAGCCTCAGCTTCCCAAGTAGCTTGGAATACAGACACCCATCATAATGCTCCACTAGTTTTTCTATTTTTAGTGGAGACAGGGTCTCACTCTTGCTCAGGCTGATCTTGAACTCCTGAGCTCATGCAATCCTTCCATCTCGGACTCTCAGAGTGCTGGGATTCTAGGCATAAGCCACTTCACCCTGCCTTATTTCCATATATTAACCCCACTCTTGGATATAATGGGATAGTTTAAGACTGATGCCTGGATACCATTTCATATCAATGTTAAAATATTATAAATTATATAATTTTATTAATAATAACAATTATATTCACACATATTCTTTCAACAGAATCTGAAAATCCACTATAGGCTTCCTGTTCAAAACACAGGAAAAGAACATCCAAAGTAGGCAGCGCCTGTGGCTCAAAGGAGTAGGGTGCCGGCCCTACATACCAGAGGTGGTGGGTTCAAACCTGTCCCAGGCCAAAAACGGCAGAAAAAAAAAAAATCCAAAGTAACTATACTCACATTAAAATCTTTAAGTTAGGATTTAACAATTTTTAAAAAGGGAGAATAATTAGTGAATGTTGATATGGAATACATTTACAACATTCCACATGGGAGTAATCTTCACTTTAATGCTTTTGAAAATATATTTATCTCTATGTATTAAATAATATACAACCCCTGTACAATGTGTTCTATCTCATCAAATAATACTCAAGACTTCTACATCATTCTACTACAAAGACATGTCAGTATTTTAGCTAGTCACTTCTTTCTTTTAGAGAAGCAATTGGAAAAATGATCTATTGACAAAATTCAAACATTTCCTCTTACTTTTATTTTGTATTTCATTTATTCATTTATTTATTTAGAGTCAGAGTCTCACTCTGTCATGCTAGGTAGAGTGCCATGGCATCACAGTTCACAGCAACCTCAAACTCCTGGGCTCAAGAGTTCCTCATGTCTCAGCCTCCAAAGTACCTGGGACTACAGGTGCCTGACACAACATCCTGCTAGTTTTTCTATTTTCAGTAGAAATGAAACCCAGGGTCTCGTATTCGCTTAGGCTGGTCTCCAACTCCTGAGCTCAAGCAATACACCTGTCTCAGCCTACCAAAGTGCTATTCCTCTTATTTATTTTTTTTTTTGAGACAGAGCCTCAAGCTGTCCCCCTGGGTAGAGTGCTGTGGCATCACAGCTCACAGCAACCTCCAACTCC